AGTATTTTAACATCTTCTGATACTTTGAAATCATTTGACAATATCATGACAAAGGAAAAGAGAAAGAGAACACAGTCTTAAAGATAGACACATTAAATAGATAGATAGAAAGAAATTGAAAGAAAAAGATAAAGTAAAGAGAGACTGTAACAAAACAAATTATTAAAAGATAGTATATAACTGTTTTAACAGACTATATCTGATTAATTTCCTCCTCTTCATATTCAGATAATTCTGAATTTAGTCATTTTCTTATAGCTGCTTGAGTTTCTGATAGAAAGTCTATTAAGTATTTAATTCCTGTCTCAGTTGAGAATAAGAATCTTATATTTAATTAATTTAGAATATACTTCTCTTTCAATCTGACTCTGAGACTATTGTATAATGCACAGTGTATTACAATATACTCAGAATTCTCATTTGCATTACAGAATGAGCATTCTATTGAGTCAAATCTATCATCAAATCTTTGTATATAAGATTTGAAATAGTCATATCTCAGTTTCAGCTGTATTATAGATGAGAATATTTTCTTTTTATATTTAATTGAAGAAGATTTTCACTTGAGTTTTATTTCAAATCTTGAATAATGTATACTCTTCTTCTGTTTCTGCTAGCTTTCATTTCACTTATCTAAACAAGATTCTTTTATTTCTCTCTTTATAAAAGACCAGGACATAATTTTTTGAATAGATCTGCTTAATTCTGCACCCTTTTTTACAGCTGAATCAGCCAATTCATTGTCATGAATATTCATATGAGCAGGAACTCAGTGTAGATGAATTATCAGCTTTGATATTCTTCTCTTTTGAATTTTTAAAACATAGTTTAAGATCAGTTCAAGATTCATTTGATCATTATAAATCTGACTATTTCTAAGTCTTTTTAAAGCAGCTTGACTATCAGAGAATATTCATATCTCTTTCAAACTATTTCCTCTTTTATAAGATTTTATTTCAATGAGTTTGAAAGCTTTCACTATTGCAAATAGTTCAGCATCAAAGACTTCAGATTCACAGCCTAGATTTCAGAAATCTGAGATAAAATTAATATTATCTTCAGTATAAGCAATGTCTATGTCTAATCTATTCAAATTCTCATTTTTTGAGCTATCTGAATAAATCAGAATAGAGTCTTTTATATTGATTGTAGAAATTCTCTTCAAATACTGTTCATATTCTTTCTCTTTTAATAGTTCATTTATTTATAAGTCTATAAGACATTCAAGCTTTTCTCTTCAGAGAGATAACTTCTCATAATCAACTTTTTCAACATTTAAAGAAGAAAATTGATTTTTAATCAGAGAGTATAGTCTGTATAGTTGAGAAGATATTTTCTTTGAAGAATTATTTTCATTTTAATCAAGAAATCTATTTCAATTCAGTTCATTTCCAGAGTTAATTGACAGAAATGAAGAAGAGACTCTTTCTCTGATTATATGATTTAAGCTTATCTTTATAACTCTCAGAGCATAGTTTATACAGATCTTTTCAAATCTAATAGTAGAAGAAGAAATTAAAGCTTCAATTTTCATTGCTTTAATAGAAGATGATTTGAATACTTTCAGAATTCTTCTCAAGACTCTGTTTTACAGACTTTAAAAGAGTTCAGTGAAATTCTCTTGATTATTTCATCAAACTTGAACTTCATAATCAGCTACTGATGTAATACAGACTATATATAACTATCTCATAGTCTGAAAGAATAGACCTCTCTCTGTATTTGATAGTCTGATTATGTTATTCAATAGTCTTTCTGTCTTGACAGTTCTTTGTTGAATGTGATATTTAAAATTCAACTTGGAGTTTAATCATACTTCTAATTATTTAACATTCACACTGGGTTTAATCTCTCTATTTAAAAGAGTTAGAGATAGTTCTTTCTCATTGAATCTAGAAAAGAAATAAATTAACTCAGTTTTATTCATATCAAATTGAATTTAATTGATATCTACTCTAACAAAGATTTCCTTTGCAGCTTCTTCAATTACTTTCAAATTCTCTTTGATACTTTTTGAGCTGTAGACTAGATCAATATCATTTATATAACTCAGAGATCACACTATTTTCATATTTCTATTTTTGAATATATATGCAGTGTATATTGTAAATAAAATGAGTGAGATTGAAGATTCTTGTGATACTTCTATTTTTATCTCAGTCTTATCTTATTTCATTTCATCAAAGAAAAGTTGTATAATTCTTTTAGATATAAAACAGTTAACTCATTTTATTAGAGAAAGTGACAGTTTTAACATCTTCAATATCTGAATTAACTTTAACTTTGAAACATGATTAAATACTTCTTTTATATCAATAAAAACTGCAGTTGAGACCAGATCTTCATACTTTGCTATTTGAATATTATGAATAACTGAGAGAATAGTGTTAATTACAGAACACTCTTTTCTATCTCTCATTTATTCACTGAATAAAAGAGAATTACTGATAGAGCTTATAAAAGATAGTCAAGTAGCTATTATCTTTTCTAAAACCTTTTCTAGACAGTTCAATAGAGATATTACTCTATATAACTTGAGAATTGAAGTTTTTCTATTAGGTTTTACAAGAATCACTTCAGTGACTTCTCTTCAGCATTCAGAATAATATTCATTTTTCAAGAGATTAAAAAAGAGCTCAAAATATTCATTCTTTAAGTAGAAGTATTTATTGTAAATAATTAAGTAATTAATTGAATCAGGCTCTGCAGCAGTCTTAACTGAACTTGAGAAGATAGCTGACTCTAATTCATCTTGAGTAAGATCAGGCCATTCCCAGTCATTTTCATTAATATAGTTAAGAAGTGATATATTCTCTTTCTCTTTCTCTGAATCTGATGAGTTTTGAAAGAGAGTTCTTATAAAAGCTTAATATTTTTTCTCAAAAGAGTTTGCTGTATATGATTCATTCTGAAACTCATATTCTAAGATTGAAAGTTTTGCTACACTTCTTGTTTTAGTATAGTTAAAAGCTTTAAAAACTTCTTTTTCTTATACTTCTTCAAGAAATTTATTTCAGCAGTCTGTTTTAGCTTTTTTAATATCTGAAACATATTCATTTCTGACAGTTTTGAACTCTTTATCAGAAATTATATCATTCTTTCAATCTCTTCTAGCAGTAGTCAATTGTTTTCTTTTAGATGTGATATTCTCATTTTATCAAGATTTTGAATACTCAGAAGACTTTCTTTTTGAAATATTATCTTTAACACTTGCTAGAATAATAGATGTAATGAGTTTCACTCTATTCTCAAGTATTTCATTTGAGATATCTTGATCAGAATTTCAATACAGCTCACTCTGTCTTTCAGATTTTAACAGTTTTATACTTTCTTCAACTGCCTTTCAGTCAGCTTTTTCAAAGTTAAACTGATTAGAGAGAAGAGGATTTTCACTCATTTATTTCTCACTCAGTTCAATATTAAATTAAATAATCTCATGATCTGATTCTGATGTCTCATTTGAATCAATAAATCAGTTTATAAGTCTTTTTTCTATTAGATTTTATGATATGAAGATTAAATCTATAATAGATTTCTGTTTTATATCTTTTCTAAAGAATGTTTATTGATCAGACTTGTTAACTAAATCTATCAAATACTCAAAGATTTATTCAATCAGATTATCAGCTCTTACTGCTCTTTTACATTCTGAGTTTTATCAGAGATAATGTGCCTTGAAATCTCCTGCAATTATAGAGTTTCTTGATAAAGTTATGTTCAGAAATTCTCTATTAATTATTCAGATGTTATTATTTTTCTTCAATGACTTTTCATTATAAATATTTATAAGCTGTATAGTATCAAACTCATTCTCTTTATCTATAATATCACTCATCAGAATATCAGAGTCAGACATGATATCAAATCTTAGATTAAATTGATATCTTGATATCTTTCTTTCATAGATCACTACTCTTGACTTTATCTCAGACTTTTGAGATAAAAAGCAGTAGTAGCTTGAATGAGAAATGACATATTTTTACTCAGTATTAAAATGTGATTTAAAGGTTGCTTAAGCCAGTGTACGATTACAGGCGTACGCCGGCTTCTTATATATTGGAATATTGTACACTAAATTAATTAGTGGCTGCTATGACCTCTTTACACTCATAAGCAAGTTTGAAAGCGGCTGTGTTATTATTCAACAGTTTGTAAGAATAAGTGCTCGCAGGCGATTATTCGGGTGTTTGCAGCTTGGCGTGATATGTACTGTTAACTACTAGAAGTGTTCACAGTAGGAAGATAAATGTAGGAGTCAAATGTATAATAGCATTCAAGCTGAGTTGTGAATAGTATTCGCGAACTCCAGTCTATATAGTTGTGTGTAGCCAAGGGCCGCTAGCCCTATTGGTTACGCGAGAGATAGGAATAGGGGTAAAGGATCCGCGAGGAGCGGGATTTCTTACACAGTTATACATTCTTCTGAATCACATTCTTTCTCACCAGATTCAGTCACACTCATGTGATCATGTTATATGTTCTAGCTTCATGCAGATTAGCTTATCACTAGTGTTTCACAATTGTGTGATCTATCTCTGATTCAGCTAGTATTCTGTGTACATTCTTACAAAGAAACTTTCACTATATTACATCACTTATTCACTAACTTTTCTCATTCTTCAATTATCATCTTCATCATCATCATCATCAAATGTTATTATTTTATTCAAGATTCTTACTTCTTCTTCTGTTTAACTCTTTTCATCTGTTCATCTATTACATTGTATGTGTTCCTGGTGATGACTTCTCATTTTCATAACAAGTATCATCATAGTGCTCATACCAGGTAGTTTGTTAGCAGTAAGTATAATACATTGTGAAACATGATTAGAACTTGTTTATCTTCTAATAATTATCAGAACATATTATCATGAATGATACATTCTCTTTATCTTCTTATACACTCTTGACTGTTTTTCTTCTCTGCAGGTTTCTGATCATGTTTTCTGACATGATTTTGCATGAATGCAGATGCTGATATATTGTTTTTATTTATGTAGAATCTTCACATGTTGACAGATTCATGTCTGCTGATAATAGTGAACTCAATGTTGAATCATTGATCGAGAACTTGAAGAACGCGATAATGAAGAAATTGCCCGTGTCATGTGTGTCTGATTCTCCCGCTCCTGCTACCTCTGTTCCCGCAACTCTCACTTCTGTCACTTCTGGTTTTACTATCTCTGCTTTCATTATCAGCTCTCCCTGTTTCAAGGAGATGTTGTATAGACTTGATGAATTACATTTCTCAGTGTGTACACTTCTGTTCTTCTTACTGACCTCTAGAATAATTTATTGTATGAAGACAGTGTATAACATGACTATTTAAAGCTCAGTTACAGATGCTAATTATTATATTTATTTTAAATATTTGTAATGAAGTAATTATTTATTTATATCAGAGAATCACTCTCTCTCTCAACAGTGTTAAGATTGTAAGTCTTTTTCTTTTTCATCTTTTCTTTCTAATGCTGATTTTTCTGTTCTCAGAAGAAATTATTATGAGTTTTACTGTGTATAAAGTCATGATATTCACAGATATTAAGAAGCTTTTCATAACTGTAAAGTTCAATATTGTAGAGATATTCACTCTGATAAATTTCTTCAGAATAATAGATCTGAATCAGTTTATTCTCTGATATCTGTTATCTGACTTTGTGATGCAGGTAAAAGATATCTGTGTTTTCAGAAATGAGAACATGAATGTTATACTCTTTTACACCTGTGAGTGTGAGGCTTGTATACCTTGTCTGAGATGTTATTATGAGAATGAGCTGTTTATATACTGTGTTCTGCTTTCTGTATTTCTCTGTGTCTCTCTCTCTCTTTCTAAGAAGTCTCATGCATGTTGTAATTGCATGTATAACTTTAAGATCAGTGAGTGTTCATTCAGTGACTGTTCTTATCTCTGATTTTATAATTTTTATATGCTAACAATAATTCTTAGTTACTCTGATGTCAGAGATCATTCTAATTGAAGATGATAATACTGCTGAGACTATTCTCTTCTGCTCTTAAGCTTCTTCTATTGCTTTCTTTTCCTCTTCTGCAGAGAAGATTGTGCATATATCAGATCATAAATGTTTAACTCTGAGTGACTTTTATTATTTATCTGATTATGTGTCTCTCTCTTCTATTTCTTCTGTCTTCACTCTCTCTACTCTGACTTCTGATTCTGCAGATTCTGTGCTCTTCTTCAATTTTTCTATGTGTATGTGTATGTATTTCTATATTAGCATTTCAGTCAATCTTGTAATAAATGATATTAATGTTGTACACAGAGTAATAGAGAAATCAGAGACATGCATGATATTATTGTAAGAGTGGCTTCTAACTCTCAAATCCCTTGCAGATCTCAAGTTTTGAGATTTCCTTTGTTTTTGATGTTTTTCAGATGATGTGATGTTGGAAATAGATTAAACATGTAATGTATGAAAATGAATGAAGTGTATATAATAACATTTGTCTTTTACAGTCAACTCTTACAGTTGATAATCAATTCATTATCTCTTTTCTTTTCTTATGCTTTTTCTTTGTCTGTTAGTCACTACTCTTATATAATCTCTATATAATACACATTCAGTGACTAGATTTAGTAGCTTTCATCTTTTGTGATTCTATCTCATGTATTATACTGTCTCTCTTCACTCACTCAGATTATCACAGTGAACAGCTTATTAAAACTAATCTCATCTGATCTCTGAGCATTCTCAGAGATTGAGATGACTTAGTCTCACATATCTGTGAATGTTTCAGATAGTTCATTCTCTGTGATCTCTGCAATTGAACTAATATAAACAGTTGAATTTAACTCTGAATTTCTTTTTCTTCTGCAATCTGACTCATATGTAAGTCTGCTACTTTGAGATCACTTTTTATCACATTGTACTTACTATCTGCAGTGTGTTATCATACAACTAGCTACAGTCTTATCACTTATTGAAGTGTGATGTTTGTCTGATTTCTTCATTACTTCTCATTCTTTTCTTATAATTGTGAAAAGATCAGAATAAGTGAGATTATCTGATTTGTAAGCATCTATGATTTCTCTTACTTTGTGAGACTTTTTAATTGTAAGTCTCTTCTTTTTCAACACTGATAATAGTACTGTGAATAATTATAATCTGCTTGAGTCTTGTATTTTTGCTTTCATAAGTCATGAATTATTAATTAAGTTGTGTAAGATCTGTCCCTCTGATTCTTTCAATGTGTACATTCTCAGAGAATGTGATTTGAGTATTTTATATAACTCAAATTATCTAGGTTGAAACTTCTTAGAACTCTCATTATGTATAAGAACTCACATTCTCATCTTGAGACTTGATTTCTTAACTAGTGAGTCTTGTATTCTTTTCAATTGAATTGCTCAGTTCAGAAGTAACTCATTAGCTTTTATATGTGTGTGACTGATCTCTTTCAATCTTGATTTCATGTTCACAACTGTTATATCTGTGACTGTTATATTCACAACTGCTGTTTTCTCTTTCACCTTTTCTGAAGCATTCTTCAGAATGCGTGAATGCAATTCATATAACAGATAGAATAATGAACACTTGAAGACTGCATGCTGCTGAATTCGTGTGACTAATAGTATCTAACTAAGATATTCATCTCATAATCTTGTAGACTTACTCACTAGATATTTTATCAGTATATTACTCAAGATTTCATTCAAGCATTTCATCTTTTCATTTATTCATGAATGATATGATGTTGTTCTATAATATCTTGTCTGTAACTGACTCATGAAATGCCTCATCACTTCTTCTATAAGGTTCACACTGTTATCAGTTAGAATCTCACATAGTATTTCATAGTTGATATAGATCTTATTATGTAGAAACTTCATCATTATCTTCTCTATTATCTCTGAAACTGCTTTTATAACTGATCAGTCAGCAGTGTAATCAATAGCAGTGATTATTCATCAATTTTCATTTGATATTCACAGTAATATGTCTATGAGATTCACTTCTCATCATTTAAACAGTTATATTATACACTTCATCTGATGTTACACTTTCTCATGTTCTAATCCTTTCTTAGATTCTTTCACAACCTGATAATTCAGACACTTGTGAGTGTACATCTGAATGTTCTCAGTCATGCTTGACTAGTATGCTCTTAGTTCAAGTATACTCATGAGTTCAGAGCTTTCTAAGTGACTGAATTTCTTGTGCATGTAAGTCATCAAGTTATATCTAAATAAAGATTCTAGATAGAGAGCTTCTATATATTCTAAATTACAGTAAAGTACAACATTGTTTTTTAATTTTCTCAGCTTGAAGTTCAGAAGTATTTCTTCTACTACTTTTATAAAATACTTATCATCTGATATCTTGTCATTCTTCAAGTAAGAGATCATGACATTCACTCATTCTGATTCCTTGCATCTTCTCAGTGTATTTAACATGAATATCTCTTGTATCTGGTTCACAGAACTCTCACTCATGAAATCAAGTCTGTAACTAATTGTGTCAGGTACTACAGCATCTGATCTCTTTCAGTATTTAATATGAAGATTATACACTTGAAACTCTGAGATTTAACATGCTAAGTATTTGAAAGATTTTATTATTAATTATAGATAGATAAGACTTTCATGATTTATAATCACTATTATTATATGCCTGTTGTTAATATATCTATCTTATAATATCAGCATATGCTTGATTACTAGCAATTTCTTTTCATACACTGAATAATTGAGCTCAGTGTCTGATAGTTTTCTATCATTGTATACTATCAAGTGCAGCTTGTCATTCTTACTCATCTGTAGAAGAGCATCTCTGATAGCTTATTCAGATATATCTATCTCAATATAGAAAGATTTATTACAATTTGATTAAATAAGCACTGAGAATGTTATTACACATTTTCTCAGTGTGAGAAAAGCCTCTTTGTATACAGCATTTCAGATAATTGAATGAAACTTCTTCTTTCACAGATTTGTATCTATTTCTCTTAAGAGATCTGAGAGTGATGCAGATATTCATGTGAAATTCTTGATGAATCTGCAATAGTATAAGATTAACTTAAGAAACTGTTATATATGATGTACATTTCTCAGCTGTGATCAATTTGCTATGACATTCAATTTCTTCAGAATGAAGTATATACAGTCATAACTCACTACATATTCTATAAACTTCAACTCTTTCATTTTAAACACACACTTAGTTGATTTAATATAGAGCTTATGCTCTGTCAGAGTTGTAAGCATTTCATCAAGATGCTTCAGATATTCATTATATGAGTTTGAAAAGACTAGAATGTTATCAAGATATATAAGACATGAGGTTCTATTCTGTTTATAAAGAATCATATTCATCATTGTTTGAAAGATGACAGGTGTATTTATTAGACTGAATGACATTGTCAGGAATTCAAACTTCTCTCATTACATATTAAACACAGTTCACAGAACTGACAGTTCATCTGTGATTCAAAGGTTGCTTAAGCCAGCGTACGATTACAGGTGTACGCCGGTGTCAGGAAAAAGAGGTTATACACTACTGAACGCCACCAACATCGTATTACTACAATATTTCTCATCATCATCAGCTTACTACAACACTCGTCTAATACTCGCTTATGCTAGCTCTCTTGGCTCACACATATATTTTACTATAAATAGCTCTATCTTTTGTATGAAATAGATATAGAAGATAGTGCACAGATAATATAACAAGCAGATCTTGATACAAATAAGATTCATATGTCTTCAACATATTCATCTGTGACACCCAATCCGACAGTTATGAGCCTGGTAAGCAGCATCTGAAGAGAAGCGTGATACACTGATCCCAATCCTCATTTGAATTTGACAACAATCATTCGAACTGAGACAATTGATCCTCATTTGTATATGGTCCGATCAACTCGACTGTTATACCATACCCGATTCCCGGTAAGCAGCATCTGAAGAGAAGCGCGATACACCGATCCCAATCCTCATTCGAATTTGACAACAATCATTCGAACTGAGACGATTGATCCTCATTTGTATACGGTCCGATCAACTCGACCGTCATACCTGATTCCTGGTAAGCAGCATCTGAAGAGAAGCGCGATACACCGATCCCAATCCTCATTCGAATTTGACAACAATCATTCGAACTGAGACGATTGATCCTCATTTGTATACGGTCCGATCAACTCGACCGTTATACCATACCCGATTCCCGGTAAGCAGCATCTGAAGAGAAGCGCGATAAACCACGATCCCAATCCTCATTCGAATTTGATAACAATCATTCGAACTGAGACGATTGTTCCTCATTCGTATACGGTCCGAAATACTCGACCGTTATACCATACACCGATCCCAATCCTCATTCGAACTGATAACTATCATTCGAACTGAGACGATTATACACCGATCCCAATCCTCATTCGAACTGATAACTATCATTCGAACTGAGACGATTATACACCGATCCCAATCCTCATTCGAACTGATAACTATCATTCGAACTGAGACGATAGATCCTCACTCGTATACGTTCTGATATACTCGACTGTTATACACCCTGATTTCTGATCATATTCACAAATACTTGAACCGATTCCTCAATCCATTCAATATAACCGATATGACAGACAAGACAATGTCTAGTGCAACTGTACACCTTAGTGTTCCTGGAGATTGGAAACTTTGATACAAGCATATGCTAGGATATGCAAAGGATAAGAAGGTATCAGACTTCATCAATCTTGACAAACCTGATATCTTCTCTGAACTAGAAGAACCTCTGGAACCTGAGTGTTCAGATGAAGCCACCGCGGAGGCCAAGATAGCATATGACATCAAGGTCACTGCGTGGAAAATCAAATATATGAAATATGAGAAATTGAATGAAGGTATGACAAAGATACAAGATGTTATATAGAGAACAGTGAATGTCACAGAGCTACAACATATATGCAGTGAGAATGATGATGTGAAGAAGATTATTCATTTGTTAAGAGATTGACTCTCATCCATGATCGCGGATTATCAAGATGATGTGAGAACCTGATACCATGATCTCTGCAAAGCACTGAAAAACAGAGATATAGAGAAGTGGTTAAATAACTGATCACTCATTGAAGATGATATCAAAGAGATGAATATAGCTGAACAGTTCAACTTGAAGAAAGACTTCTTAAATGTGAATCTAACTATTAATACAGGTTATGTACAAGCATGAGCTAAGAATGTCTGATATGATAAAGATGTCATATCTTTGATAGAGTTAGTTAAGAACTTCAAGAAACAGTATAGAGAAATGAGTATTCTCAAAGAAGATAAATCTATGAACTTTGCTACTCTTAATGAAAGATCTCAGTAATTATTATCAGTGACATTCAGAAACTGCATCTGCAGAGCCTGTCACTAATACACTCAGTGCTACTATCTCAATTCATCAAGAAAGTCATCTGAATGAAAGAAAAATGAGGAGAAGAGAACTCAGATTGATCAAGCTCTTAAGAATCAAGAATTAAAGAGATATATTAATTATGTGATATCTAGAGATTCATTCACAAATACAGATATAATAGATGTCAATGAAGCAGTTCTAGAAGAAATAATTCTGAAGTAATCAGTTTCTCAATCTATCAATTATCAATTCTTTGATCATCAATCTATCAATTATCAATCTATTAATCAGCAAATCTGAAAAATATTGATGAACTCTTCACATTCTCACTTCTATCTCTGAAACTCCTGGATCTTTGATACTGATGTGAAACAGCATATATATAATAATTGAACACATTTTCTATTCTTTTCACCTGTGAATGAGAATGTGGAAGTCTATACAGGCAATTCCAGCACTAAAGTTGAAGATTATGAAACTGTTAGAACTATCATGATAAATGAAGCAGAAAAGCAGTTCAATGTCAATCTCATCAATGCAGCTTACATACTGAATTTTCATACAAATATCATTGCATGGAAACCGTGTTTCCATATAGAAGGCATCTATTATGATGAAAAAGACTTCAGATTGTGAAAATGTGCAGATAATACAATCTTTACATATGTTGAAGTATTTAAGAGGTTGCTAGTTACAGAATATAATAGTGAAACAGCTGTTTTCTCAACTATCTCAGAAAAATTCACTACCGAAGTCAATGCAGCTATCACATCACACACATCTAACATCACTAAATCTGAAAAAATAATATCTTCAAATTCTTCAACTTCTACAAATTCTTCTTTCAACCTGTAAAAATGCACTTCTACAAAACCTTCTCAAAAACCTAAGATCTCTATAGCTACTCAGTCTATGTAGTATAAGAGATTAGAACATTCTTCAAAAATCATCATTTAAAATCTTGCAAATGATGCAACTGGTGTTCAAATCACTTATCAAGAAGATGCTGTGAACGAGCTTATTATCAAGCTTTGCAAACTCTACTATCTATCTAATGCAGAAAATCAAATATCTAGACATCTTCATGTTAGATCTCATACACTGAATTCAACACCTGAATCTACGCCAGGGCCAGCGGGCTCTAATGTTGATACAGGTTCTAATGTTGATACAGGTCTCAATATTGATATTAATACTCATTCAGCTGTGATAGATAATTATACACAGAATAGCAATGTTGTAAGAATAAGTGCTCACAGGCGATTATTCGGGTGTTTGCAGCTTGGCGTGATATGTACTGTTAACTACTAGAAGTGTTCACAATAGAAAGATAAAATGTAGAGATCAAATGTATAATAGTATTCAAGCTGAGTTGTGAATAGTATTCATGAACTTCAGTCTATATAGTTGTATGTAGTCAAGGGCCGCTAGCTCTATTAATTACATAAGAGATAGAAATAGAAGTAAAGAATCTGTGAGAAGCAGGATTTCTTACATATTCTCTTCTCTCTAAGACTTTATCTGTGAAGCCTTTCACTGAGTGACTTCATAGTCAGCTCAGCACTGCAGTGATACTCACTAAAAATTCTTCACATCTATAAAAAATCTCAGTGAGGAAAAATTCCTTATTATTATTATTATTATTATTATTCTTCAATTATAGATGTATGCAGTCAGAGACTATGACATCTACCTGAGAACTTTAGTTCTCAGGGTTTTTTCTATGTCTGTAAAGTTAACTATTGTACATTCATCAATTTCAGATATGCAAAATCAGAAAATTCCAGCCCAGAATACAAAAACTGTTTACAAATTGCAGTGTTTTAACATCTTTTGATACTTTGTAACCATTTGACAATATCATGACAAAAGAAAAGAGAGAAAGAACACAGTCTCAAAGATAGACACATTAAATAGATAGATAGAAAGAAATTGAAAGGAAAAGATACAGAAAAAGAAAAAGTAAAGAGAGACTATAACAAAACAAATTCTTAAAAGAGAGTGTATAGCTGTTTTAACAGACTATATCTGATTGATTTCCTCCTCTTCATATTCAGATAATTCTGAATTTAGCCATTTTCTTGTAGCTGCTTGAGTTTCTGATAGAAAGTCTATTAAGTATTTAATTCCTGTCTCAGTTGAGAATAAGAATCTCATATTTAATTGATTTAGATCATACTTCTCTTTCAATCTGGCTCTGAGACTATTGTATAATGCACAGTGCATTATAATATGCTCAGGATTCTCATTTGTATTGCAGAATGAGCATTCTATTGAGTCAAATCTATCATCAAATCTTTGTATATAAGATTTGAAATAGCCATGTCCTAGTTTCAGCTGTATTATAGATGAGAATATTTTCTTTTTACATTTAATTGAACAAGATTTCCACTTGGGTTTTGTTTCAAATCTTGAATAATGTATACTCTTCTTTTGTTTCTGCCAGCTTTCATTCCACTTGTCTAAACAAGATTCTTTTATTTTTCTCTTTATAAAAGACCAGGACACAATTTTTTGAATAGATCTGCTTAATTCTGCACCCTTTTTTGCAGCTGAATCAGCCAATTCATTGCCATGAATATTCATATGAGCAGGAACCCAGTGCAGATGAATTCTCAGCTTTGATGTTCTTCTCTCTTGAATTTTTAAAACAGAGTTTAAGATCAGTTCAAGATTCATTTGACCATTATGAATCTGACTATTTCTAAGTCTTTTTAAAGCAGCTTGACTATCAGAGAATATCCATGCCTCTTTCAAACAATTTCCTCTTTTATGAGATTTTATTTCAATGAGTTTGAAAGCTTTCACTATTGCAAATAGTTCAGCATCAAAGACTTCACATTCAGAGCCTAGATTCCAGAAATCTGAGATAAAATTAATATTATCTTCAGTATAAGCAATGCCTGTGCTCAATCTGTTCAAGCTCTCATTTTTTGAGCCATCTGAATAAATCAGAATAGAGTCTTTTATATTGATTGTAGAAATTCTCTTCAAATGCTGTTCATATTCTTTCTCTTTTGATAGTTCACTTATTTGTAAGTCTATAAGAGATTCAAGCTTTTTTCTCCAGGGAGATAACTTCTCATGATCAACTTTTTCAACATTTAAAGAAGAAAATTGATTTTTAATCAGAGAGCATAGTCTGTACAGTTGAGAAGGCATTTTCTTTGAAGAATTATTTTCATTCCAATCAAGAAATCTATTCCAATCCAGTTCATTTCCAGAGTTAATTGGTGGAAATGAAGAAGAGACTCTTTCTCTGATTATATGATTTGAGCTCATCTTTACAACTCTCAGAGCATAGTTCATACAGGCCTTTTCAAATCTAATAGTAGGAGGAGGAATTGAAGCTTCAATTTCCATTGCTTTAATAGGAGATGATTTAAATGCTCCCAGAATTCTTCTCAAGGCTCTGTTTTGCAGACTTTGAAAGAGTTCAGTGAAATTCCCTTGATTATTCCACCAAACTTGAACTCCATAATCAGCTACTGATGTAATACAGGCTATATATAACTGTCTCATAGCCTGGAAGGATAGACCCCTCTCTGTATTTGATAGTCTGATTATGTTGTTCAATAGTCTTTCTGCCTTGACAGTTCTTTGTTGAATGTGATATTTAAAATTCAACTTGGAGTTTAACCATACTCCTAACCATTTGACATTTACACTGGGTTTAATCTCTCTATTTAAAAGAGTTAGAGATAGTTCTTTCTCATTGAATCTAGGAAAGAAATGAATCAACTCAGTTTTATCCATATCAAATTGAATTTGATTGATATCTGCTCTAACAAAGATTTCCTTTGCAGCTTCTTCAATTACTTTCAAATTCTCTTTAATAGTTTTTGAGCTGTAGACTAGACCAATATCATCCACATAACTCGGAGATCACACTATTCTCATATTTCTATTTTTGAATAGATATGCAGTGTATATTGCAAATAAAATGGGTGAGATTGGAGACCCCTGTGGTACTCCTATTTTTATCTCAGTCTTGTCTTGTTTCATTCCATCAAAGAAGAGTTGTATAATTCTTTTAGACATAAAATAGTTAACCCATTTTATTAGGGAAAGTGGCAGTTTTAATATCTTCAATGTCTGAATTAACTTTGACTTTGAAACATGATCAAATGCTTCTTTTATATCAATAAAAACTGCAGTTGAGACCAGACCCTCATGCTTTGCTATTTGAATATCATGAACAACTGAGAGAACAGTGTCAATTGCAGAACACTGTTTTCTACCTCTCATTTATTCACTGAATAAAAGAGAATCATCTATAGAGCTTATAAAAGATAGTCGAGTAGCTATTATCTTTTCTAAAACCTTTCCTAAGCAGTTCAATAGAGATATTACTCTATATGACTTAGGAATTGAAGTTTTTCTATTAGGTTTTGCAAGAATCACTCCAGTGGCTTCTCTCCAGCATTCAGGATGATATCCATTTTTCAAGAGATTGAAAAAGAGCTCAAAATATTCATTCTTTAAGTAGGAATATGTATTTTGAATAATCAAGTGATTAATTGAATCTGGACCTGCAGCAGTTTTAACAGAACTTGAGAAGATAGCTGACTCTAATTCATCTTGTGTAAGATCAGGCCATTCCCAGTCATTTTCATCAATGTAGTTGAGAAGTGATATATTCTCTTCCTCTGAATCTGAATCTGAATCTGGTGAGTTCTGAAAGAGAATTCTCATGAAAGCTTGACATTTTTCCTCAAAAGAGTTTGCTGTATATGATTCATTCTGAAACTCATATTCTAGAGCTGGAAGTTTTGCTACACTTCTTGTTTTAGTATAGTTAAAAGCTTTAAAAACTTCCTTTCCTTGTGCTTCTTCAAGAAATTTATTCCAGCAGTCTGTTTTAGCTCTTTTAATATCTGAAAAATATTCATTTCTGACAGTTTTGAACTCTTCATCAGATATTACATCATTCTTCCAATCTCTTCTAGCAGTAGCTAATTCTTTTCTTTTAGATGAGATATTCTCATTCCACCAAGGTTTTGAATACTCAGAAGATTTTCTTTTTGGAATATTATCTCTAACACTTGTTAGAATGATAGATGTAATAAGCTTCACTCTATTCTCAAGCATTTCATTTGAGATATCTTGACGAGAATTCCAATATAGCTCATTCTGTCTTTCAGATTTTAACAGTTTTATGCTTTCTTCAACTGCTTTTCAATCAGCTTTTTCAAAGTTATACTGATTAGAGAGAAGAGGATTTTCACTCATTTGTTTTTCACTCAGTTCAATATCAAATTGAATAATCTCATGACCTGATCCTGATGTCTCATTTGAATCAATAAACCAGTTTACAAGTCTTCTTTCCATTAGATTTTGTGACATGAATGTTAGATCTATAATAGACTTCTGTTTCATGCCTTTTCTAAAGAATGTTTGTTGATCAGACTTATTAACCAAATCTATTGAATGCTCAAAGGTCCATTCAACCAGATTATCAGCTCTCACTGCTCTCTTGCATTCTGAATTCCATCAGGGATGATGTGCATTGAAATCTCCTGCAATTATAGAGTTTCTTGATGGAGTTATGTTCAGAAATCCTCTATCAATTGTCCAGATATTGTTATTTTCCTTCAATGACTTTTCATTATAGATATTTATGAGCTGTATAGTATCAAACTCATTTTCTTTATCTATAATATCACCCACCAGAATATCAGGGTCAGACATGATATCAAATCTTAGATTAAATTGATATCTTGATCTCTTTCTTCCATAGATTACTACTCTTGACTTTATCTCAGACTTTTGAGGTAAAAAGCAGTAGTAGCTTGAATGAGAAATGACATATTTTTGCTCAGCATCAAAATTCGGCTCCTGAAGCAGTACAAAATCAACTTTTTGTTCAAATGCAATTTGAAGACAAGAATAAATGCAATTTGAGTTTCTATCCACATTATTTTGAATAAATGTGATTTTTGAAGAGTTTTTAAACTTTTTTTGTTGTTTTTGTTGTATATTCATACTAAAAGAGAGTAGAGAAGAATCTAATCACTATCATCAGATAGTAGATTATAACTGTTCTGAAAAGTAGGAATCTCAACTGCTTGCATTATATCTAGTTTATCACCAGAGTCATTTCTCAATTCTCTAATCTTAACAGGAGTTTGAGGATTCAAATTCTGTTTACATTTTGCTGGAGAATTGGAGTTTGAAGACTTAGATAATTGAGAGTTTCTTCTTTTTGAGCTTGCAGTTGTGAGTTTACTGGCTTGACTCTTCTCTTCAGTTCTAGATTGACTTTGAGCTTCATCTTTTCTCCAGTTCTTTTGAGTTCTAGGAGCAAACATACATTCTTTAGAGCTAGATGCATGTTTTTCTTTGCAATTAGAGCACTTAAGCAGAGTATGTTGACAAATTTCACCTCTTTTTGAGCATGTTTCACATTTATGCTCACTAGTTTTGTGATCTCTGGCACAGAATGCACATTTTGTATCTCTAAAACATGAGATTGCAAAGTGTCCATATCTTTGACAGTTTGAACACTGTGTTTGAGCTTTGAGATTCATTCTTGAGTCTTTGTATTCATGAACTCTCATTTTCAAACCTGCTACTCTTACTTCAGAGATCTTTGACTGTTCAAGTGTTTTTGTATATACTAGAACAGAGACATTTCTCCTGCTTTGTCTGAACTCAATTGAATTTAGCCATACAGGCTCCTTTCTCAGTTGAATGGAGTTGTATTCTTCCAATTCATTTTTGAGAAGTAGCATTCCTTCTTCACAGTCAAAAATTTCAACTGGAATATCATGAAGAATGAATTTGCCCCACTTTTCATCTCTTTCAGATAGAATTGTTGTGTTTAGCAATGATTCTACTGCTGACTTCCAGAGATTCTCATTCTGAATAAGGAATTCAGCACTGAATTCAGGCATTGTAGTCAGAATAATAGAGTTTCCAAAGAATGATGACTCAATTGAAGCTATAACTGGTTTTTGAACTTCAATATCAGTCATCAACTGAGAAAAGAACTGCTGATTAATTTCATTTCTGATTCTGAAAATGAGATTTGAGTTTAGCTTGTTTCTTTGCAGAATGTCCTGGTTTGAGACTTTGAGAATGAGTCTTCTGTTTCTAGAGATTTGGAAGTTTTTCTCTTTTTGCATTTTCTTTTCCACTTTTCTATGAATAGAGGCATGAGCAGTATTCTTCTCAGTTTTCTCAGGATTTTGAGCAGGTTTTGAGACAGCAGGTTTAGAGACAGCAGATTCAGCTGCTTGAGCATATGTTTTCTTCTGATTCAAAGAAGAAGAAGGAGTAGGAAGAAAGGAAGAAGAAGAGTAAGATGAAGAGTCAGTGATTGTACTAGGAATTTTCAAGGTTTTTTGAACTGTGTTTGAGATTCCAAGTTTGAACTTGATCACCTCCTGTAGTTGTCTGGCCTGAGCATGAAGAATTAACAGAACTTCTTCATTCATCTCACTCAGACACTGCTTTCCAAGAATCTTGCTTGCTTTTTCAAGTTCCTGTATTTCAAGAACTTGTTGTTTCTCTATTTCTTCTTTCTTTCTTCTCTTCAGAATTTCAATCTCAGGAATAGCATTTGAGAAAGCATCTTTTTCCACATCAACTGAGCGTATTTTTGAACTCATTGTTTTCACTCAATGAAAAGTTGGTCAGACTGTTTCAATTGAGATATTTCTAAGTCTGTTTTCAATTGAAAAGTTGGTCAGACTGTTTCAAAAGAAGAATAAAAGACTTTTGTGTATAAAACACCTGATTTTTTTCACACTAGTTCAGTAACTAGGTTAGATTTTTGAAGAGAATCTAATAAACTAAAATTGATTTTTAAGATAAATCAATAAAATCTTTACAATCTCTTTCTTGGGATACAGTGAGGAAAAGTATGATATCAATTGATAATAAATCAGATGATATGACAGTTTTTGAGAGAAAAACTGACAAAAAATAAATCAATTTTTTGCAGAGAAATTGATTAAAACTATTCAATTTTATTCTAAATCATCCAATTCTCCTCACACAACAAGTGTGCAACTCAAATCAGTTAATAAAGAGTGTAAAAAAGAATTAAGTATTAATGAAAGCTCTTCAGCCACTGAAATAGTAATTCTTACTTAAAAGAATATGAAATTATGACAGAAAACAACTCTGTTTTTAATTCTTTGTAAGAATATTGTGTAAAACCCAGAGAAAAACACCTTACTTTTTCAAGAGAAGTAAAAAACTATTTCTAAGATCTTTTTTTTTTGCATTAACTGCTGCAGAAGAATGAGATAGAAACTGCTAAGATATGCACTACTGTATACCCCCTACCAAGACTTTCCCTCTTCAGGGTCTTGATATTATAGAGAATATAAGTCTGTTTCTATATGATAATATAAATATTGCCAGCGGGATGTAGAGGAACTGGTTATTTATATCTCAAAATAGAAGACTTTGTCAATGATTATATCAATATAGAGTTAATTCTCAAATTCAATAGAAACCTAGTGTTGCTGTTCTCAATCCCTTACAGAATCTATTGAATATTGAGGTATTAAAACTAGATTTAATATATCTCACTGTGCAGGGATCAAAGGCTCAGTCAGACCTTGGGGTATACTGATTTTATAGTTGTTGATGTGCTGTTGACTCGTTGTCCACTGGTTATGTATTGAATACTGTTGCCGAGGTATCTTTTTGTATCGTTCTGCTGGGGATGGGCCAGATTGAGAGGGGTAGTACAGGGGTGAGACTTGGTGTTGAAGTCTAGATACACTGGCGGCGGACCGTGGAGGTTGCACTTCAGAAGAGTCCGTTGATTATGTGCTTGATATTATCGCCGAGGTATCTTTTTGTATTTTTCTGCCGGGGATGGGCCAGATTGGGAAGGGCGGTACGAGGGTGAGACTTGGCGTTGGTGTTTTGGAACATCAAAGATGGACAGGGTTTTCGCGGAGGTCGCTCCTCGGATATCTCCACAACTACAGGTCGGGGGTCTTCCAAAATCGAGAAGATTGGTGCATATGGCTAGGTCACTTCACCTTACAATTTGTATGGCACTCTGGCCCGGGGTTGTGGTGTGGTAGGGGAGAACGGGGGATAATCCCACACAGGAGCTTCGAACAACGTCCGGTTCACGTTTGGCTGGATAACTCCACCACCACACGGGGTATGCGGTCGGCGATGGGGTCAAAATGCTCGTATGATCGAGGGCTTTTCGATGGATCTATCGGCGGGTTCTTATTCGAAAAATCGAGCGAGTTCGTGGTGGAGCGGTTGTGCATAAAAAATTCCTTATTATTATGAAGAGAAAAGAGTCTATCACTCAGTTTCTTATTCTGTAAGATTCTTTATAGTCTATAGATTCTTCTCTGACTATCACATAGATTCATCTTACATCTTTCATACAGAAGAGTTTCAGTTGACTCTCAACTATTTTCATGAGATTCTTATATAATCATCACACAGATTCATCTCACAGATAAATCACTCTCTGTGAGATTATCTTCATCAAAGAGAAACATTTATGAGTTGATTTTTCATTCATTCTCACAAATCATTGCTCTTTGACACTGTAGAATTATAAGAAATTTTTCATTCTTTCATCAATTCTGTAGAATTATAGAATCAAGATGTCTGCAGTCTACAATCACTCTTTGTAGTTATATAGAAAGATTCAGGCCTGTGATTCATAATTACTCTTGTTTACTAGAGTGATCTGACTGTTCTATGAGATCACTCACAGTGTAAGCAAATCTCTTTAGAGTAGTATAAATATCTTAGATCTGTTCACAGAATCTCATCTTCTTTTCTCTTTTTTTATAACAGCTTTCATTCTCACAAACTGTGAGTATTCTTATTCATTCATGAAGTGTTTTCACTCAGATAACAGAGAGAGAGTATTTCTAATAATATCTGTGTATTAATTCAAGAACTTCTCAAGAATAAAAATTTTTTCAATTTCAATATCTTCATAAACAATGTCTGACTGCTGCTGAGCTTCTCATGAGTGTCTCTGTGACTTCTCTGATTGCTTTTTATCAGCTGATGAAGCAGGGATACTGCTGCTCATGACTGTGTCTTCATTTCTCTCAGCTCTGTCACTGCACTCAATCTTCAGGCCAGCAGCTCATCTCATTTCTCTCTCAGATCAGTTCCTGACTTCAAGCAGTGCAGTTCCTCTCTTTGCTGTAAGTCTTCTCATAAGTAATTTCTTACAGATTCTAGCTGACAGTTCTTATAAAGCTCTCAGTGTTGCCAGTGTCTTCTGCAGCTCTGTGAGCCTACAATCACCTCTTCTCTGCCTGCACAATCTCTGACCAGGCATATGTGAATATGTCTAGATTCTCTATCAATAGTTCTCATGCTGTGGCGCATTTCTGCAATCTCATTGTCAATGAAAGATGAGTTCTCAGATACCTGCAAAATCTGAGTAATTAAGACAATGTGAATATCATGAATTTATGATGAGAGTTAATCTGAATAGATAAGCTCTCTCTCTGTGTCTTCATTATTTTCAGACTGAATACTTCAGTACAACTGAGAGAGCAGACATAGCTTCATGAGAGATATCTGATTATATATACAGATAATCAGTCTTCAAGACTCTGCTGCAACTGTGTGTGCTCTGATGTTCAGCTTCTCTGAAGTCTGTACATTTCTGACAGTCTTTGCATCAAATGTAATAATTATCTGTACTATAGATATGATACTCTCTGCTTCTTTAAAGAGAAAAATTAATAGTTATAGAAGAATTGAGTATCACAGATATTAATGATATGAGTGTAAGTTTTCTTTATTTTTTCTTTATTAATCTCTAAATTATATTCACAGCTCTGTTTATTTTCTTGTTTTTTAGCTTTAATGAGAATATATTTTCTTCTTCTCTTATATACACTGCAGACTGTTCATCTCAGTAGAAACTCATTATCTTATAGACTAAAGTTTATAAATGACAGTATTAATATCTTTATCATAATCAGATTCTTAGTGAAGATTATATCATTCTGACATATCAGAATTCACAGTATAAAAGTCATATCTCAGCTTCTGCAGATATCTTATCTACTCAGATGATTCTCAAGTGAACTTATTCATCTTATCAGAATACTCTTATCACTGAATCTTGAATCAGAGCTTGTAATCTTGCTTCTCTGAGTTAATAATTTCTTTAATCTGATATTCTCTTTCACTCTCTAGTACTTTATAAACAGAGTGATGAGTTACAGAATTCTCTTCTAAGAATTTCTTATATTTACAGAGTAAAGAGATATGAAAAACATTATATATCTACAACTCAGATGACAGTTTCAATCTGTAGAACTGCAAGCTAACTTTCTTCACAATCTTATAAGACTCTATTTATAAGAGATTCAGCTTCTTATTAGATCTTCACATAATAATATTTTCTAGACTTAATCAGACTCTATCATCTTTCTTGAAACTCTTTATAATATGCTTGAAGTCATAGTATCTCTTCTGATACTCTTAGATCTTTCTCAAGAATTTGCAGACTTTCTCCTGAATCTCCTGAATTCTCTCAGCTCATTCACAGACATTATCACACTCTATAGTATACTCTCATGAGTTCATCAAGATCATTCACAGATAAGTCTCAGTAAGCATCTCAAAGAGAGTTTTATCTGTGCTGACATGCTTTGAGTTATTGTATATAAACTTCATGAGTGATAATTAATGCACTCAGTCATTCTGATTATAATTAATAAAGTATCACAGATACTGTTTCAATATACTCATCAGATATTCTATCTGATTATCTGTCTATTGATGAAAAGCTGTGCTTAAATCTTATAAGATCTTCAGTATAGTTATCAGATCAGATTAGAACTCTTCTATAAAGATTAATTCTCTGTCTGAGATAATGTTTGCAGACAATTCATGCAATCAGATCATATTACAGATGAAGATATAAGTCAAATTCTTTAACTTCAAGTTCTTGCAGATGAGTATAAAGTGTGTTATCTTGATAAAGTAGTTCACTATCATCAGCACACTGTCAAAGCAGGCATTATATATATTCTTGCTTTCAGAGAGACTCATAAGAATATTCATTTCTAGCTGTTTTCAAGGTTTCTGTAAGATGAGTAGAGAAGTAAGTTCTTTATATAAACTGAACTACACTATCTGTGAACTCTGATAAATAGTATAAGAATTCACTATCTTCTTCACAAGTTCTTATATCTTCAGTCAGAAGTATTTTCTTACAAGCAACTCATGAATTCTAGTGTCTGTAAAATGACTTATTAGAGAAGAGTCATGATATCTTTTAATAAGTTCTATGCATAGAAACTCATTCACAGACATATAAATCTGATTCTCTCTTTATAAGAGATTATTTAAGTCTCTTCAATTCTTTATTTCTGCAGAATTAATCTCTGTCATGAGCAGTTTCTGAATATACTGAGTATATTCATTCTTCAGTTACAGTTCAGATAATCTGAATAGAAGATCTTATAAAGACTTATACTCTGTTTCTTCTTATATCAGATCTTTCATAATGCTTCTCAAAGTCTGCAAACTCTTCAGATTATAGATACTCTCTTCAAGAATTCTCACAGAGATTCTCAGAGTGTTGACTCTCAGTGTTATAGAGAGTAGTTGTACAGACTTCTTCTCTCTCTCTTTCTTCTTCTCTTATAGAGAATTAAGAGACTCTTCAGTCAATCTCTTCATAACACTCAGTCTGAGCATTTTATAAAGCTTTTCTGTCTTCTCTAGTCTCTCTGTATCTGTTATTCTGATCTTCTTAATATAGTCTGATCTGTGAGAGAGTCTGTTCACTGAGTTCTTAGTTCTCTTGATATATTCTATCTTGAATCAGAACTCACTCAGTCTCTGAGCTCAGTGAATCTGCTGCTGTGAGAGTTTCTTGATTGAAGTAAACTGTTATAAGCTGTTATAATCAGTTCTAACAGTAATCACTGTTATAAGACTCTTGAAGTAGTGATATCAGTGATAGAAGAATTTCACTATTATGAAAAGCTTCTGATCATGAATGTTATAGTTAATCTCTGTGAGTTGTATCTTCTGTGAGAAAAAGATCACTGAAACTCAGTTCTCATTTGACTGTAGTTGTA